GATTATAGTATCACGGACCAACGAGCACTTATCATCCTCGCCGAGTCCACGAACATTCCAGTTTAGAATCTTCATAGTGCAGTAAAGAACACACAACCCAGAGCAAGAAAGCTAAAGTGCATATGCAACATGATCATGATGAAGCAAACAGTGCAAAGCACTAAGATAGATAACTTGGAGTAGCAGCATACAGACTCATGACCGACTGACCATAACAAACTACGGACCTTGAAGAAAGGCATAGCCAGGCTAACTGGTGGCCCAAGATAAAACAGATACATATGAGGACTACAGAACACTACGCAAGACAGACACTTGAGAGATACAGCTGCGGACAGCACTGCCCAAAGGCCCAGACGACAGGCACTAGGCCTAACCATTGAAGGAGTTGAAGACACATGCAGTGGAGCCAGAGACAGCACCAACGGAGGTGGAAGCGTCATCCGACGAGACAGGAACGGCTTGGATCTTGGCTTGTTCCAGGATGGCACTAGCGTTGAGGTCGCAACACTGGGCAATCTTCTTCAGTTTGCCCCGAGTCAGAGGTGACAGTGTATTTAGCAGTGGCAGCTCAAGCAGGCCGGTCACAGTCGTGGTCTTGGTATTCTTGCGACGGCGAGAGACGGAATCGGAGTGTCGCGACGGCCCTGAACTGGAGTCAGATCCAGCAGCCACCGCCTTCCTCTTAGTCGCGCGCTCGACAGAACCCATGCGCATGCCGTCGTAGGCGTGGCTGATGCGCGGGCTGCGCCAGGGCGAAGCAGTGAGCACCAGCGGCGGCGCCTCCTCCTCCGCTTGCTGGTCGAGGCCAGGCTCCCTGACCTCCCCATGGCTCCCTGGTCGACCGACTCTAGAGGCTGGATCTCGACTGCCGTATTGAGGTCAAAATCCATGGGGGCGGCCGCGGCCATCGAGCCCGCACCCATAGGAGGAGCGGGGAAGAGCTGGAGCACGACCTTGGGCAGGCGCTCGCCAGCACCAGGCTCGCAGGGCGGCTCACGGCAGCTGCAGAACACGGTGGCGGCCTGAGAAGGGGGCGCAGCACATGCCCCGTGCTGCAGATCGATGGAGACGACTGGTGATGGTTGACCGCACAACAGGACCCCAGGCTCGGGTCGTGGGATGCGATGGAAGGGTCTGGAATAGATAGGCCGGGCCACGAGGATCTGGTGGGCCCGGTAGTGCTGCTGGTCTGGGAACTGGGCTTCCACAGGGGGGCACCACCAGAAAAAACAAGCGCTGGCCCAACTGCAGGAAGCAGCCAATAGGCACATTCGCCTTAGGTGGGTGTCGACATTCGACGGAAGGAAGCAAAGGAAGCATGCGGGGACACGACCCACCAGACAACATTTTGGGCAGAAAGCTGAAGAAGAGAGAACGAGAGCTTTCCCGTGCAAGTTCTCCCTTGGTGTAGTCAAAGCAAGGGAAGAAGCCATCATCCATCGACAACAGGCGGACCGGGATCGTACCCGTAGCAACTCTGTTGTTGTTGAGCTCAAGCTTGAAGGTGAAGCACAGGCCCTCCGCGTCGAAGGTGACCGAGACCCGCGGCGTGCGCACTTCCGCCGCCCACAGCGATGAGTGGAGGCATAGCTGGAGATCATCCTCGTGCAAGATTTGAGCCTCAGTGGGCGGGGAAAAGGCGGATCCTCTGATGAGCTTGGGCTTGGCCGCCAGCTTGAGCATGGCCAAAGAGTCGGCTGGAGAAGCCGTCTCCGGGTGCAGGAAGGCGTGGAAAGCGCGGTTCGCCATGCCCTCCCCACCGCCCACATGCCCGCGGGCCGAGGAGGACCCAGGATGGGCACGCCCCCGCCAAGGGGAAAGCGGGGCAGGGGAGCGGGGGTCGGCGTCGTCCCCATCGAGTCGACCGGGCGGGTGCGGCGTGACCGTGGGGGCACCGAGGGAGCGAGCGACGTCCCAGATTTCATTGATGATGACGTCTGCATAGATGCCATTGCCGTCGACGCGGTGGAAGGTGATATGGTGGGGGATGTGGTGCAGAGCCTCCACCTTGACGAGGACGAAGATGCTTGAGAACTCGCTGCCGTGGAGGCAAGCATGCTCTAGGCGAAAGAGGCCGGCGAAGCCGGCGACGCTCGCCGCCACCCCCCTCCGGTTCCACAGCTCCAGGGGCATCTTCTCAAGCGAGAGGCTGACGATGTGATGATAGGCGAAGCGGAAAGCGTTGTCGCCCGTGTTGTGCGGAAGGATCCAGACGGTGCGATCGCCCACCTCCATCGGACTAGCACGCAGAGCAGCGACCTGCTCGGACTCGCGCTGGAACACGACGAATGATGTGCCCACAGCAGAGCCGGCGAACCGAATCGCAGTGATGCCGAGCTGGTGACGAAAGACCCTGCGTCGCCAGGGAAGGAAGGAGGCCTTTGGTGGAGAGATGGTGATGAGGCACACGAGGGAGTTCTGGTCTGGCACGAGAGGGTAATGGACGTCCAGCGATGATGGGCGGCCGTGCACCACCGGCTCCATGGCAAGGAGAGGCTGGGGGGCTGAGCTTGGAGGGGATGGATGTGTGGAGAGAGGAAGTGAAGAGGTCTGTGTGAGGGAGAACGACTCCGGGGAAACCGTACTTATAGGTGTACGAGCAAGCCGAAGCGAAGGGCAAAGGGACTTATAGCTGCAACGGGCGCGAGTGTGGTCAACTAAACGGCAAAGCCAGCAGACCACCGGATCCCTACAATCCCGTCACCAGTGGCTATAGGAAAGACAGCGGTAGCAGCGATTATGTAGGTTTTTAGGCTTTCCAAACCACAACCATGGATACGGTGTGGCTCCCGAGAGATTAGCGGCAGCGGAAGCAGCTGGAGGGGAGAGCAACGCATCTCTGTAGGGGGTAGAGGTAGGATCAGCAGGCAGCTGGAGCGTCGCCAACAGCGCCAGAGGAATCCGCGCGCGGACCGGCTAACGATTGGTCAGCAGAAGGCGGCATCAGCGTAATGCAAGGGTTGGGAGAGATAAGCACGAAGCTAATTGATTGCAGGATGGCTCTATCCCGCATGCGGCAAAGCGCCCTGCCTGCAAGCGTGTCGTGAAATCCCCGGAATCCGGGGCACGCGGGGCCGTGGCAGTCAAAGGATTACTATCTAGCGCCGGGGGCGCAGCGCACGAAGGGCGGGGTCCGAGGAGAGACGGCAAAAGGGAATTAGCCTCCCACGTACGTCTACGTGCATGCACCCATGCATGAGCCGACTCACGACGTACAAAAGAGTCCAGATCAGAAAGAGACATGGCAACAACGATAAAACCTGACCGCCATGGATCACGGAGCACGATCTCCTTAGCAATGCACTCATGAGCCACCTGGAAACGAAAGGAGCCCCTCTGACACGGTTGGACTCGGTAGCCACTGGCATAGCCCCCGAACCAGGTCACCAGGAGGGAAGCGAACGCTGCTGGAGAGAAAGCAACACCATCGTTGAGGACGACGGCGAGAAGACCAGCCGTCCGGCTACGGCCAGCCACGGCCGAAAGGGTGCCGCAACCATACTTGGACAGCATAGCATCCTCAAACCATGAACCATCCATGGAACAAGCCAGAAGACCAGAAACCCTAAAACTAGACCTCAAGGGGAACTACAAGCGCCGGAGCGGCGAGCATGCATCAAAAGGTAGGGCTGCAGTTCAGAACAAACACTACGAAGAACTGACCTGAGAACCAGCGGAGAGCGAAGGACGAAGAGCCGTTGATCTCGAACTAAACCTCAAGCAGCGCGGTGGAGCTCAAGGAGGGGGGATGGACGCCGAGCCCGAGTGGTGCACGGCGGAAGGAAGCCGCCAACCCAGGAAACAGCTGTCGGTGAGCTCACGCCTCCTAGCAGCTGCAGGCAGATGGTGGACGCCGTGCCCAGGCGACACACGGCGGTGTGGTGCGGAAGGCCGGTGGGTGGACGCCGTGCCCGGGGTGGCACACGGCGGTGCGGCGAGCGCCGACGCCTCTAGCTAGCGAGGGTAGTCTTACAATGCTCTCATGGCAGATGTCTCCGAGAGGGACTCTTGGATCTTACAATGAGAAAGTTGGTCAGCAGGTATAGATATAGATATAGATATAGAGGTATAGATATACTCTTTTTGTTTTAAAATATAAAGTTGGATCATCTATTTTAAAGGAGTAAATTGTTTCTCGAATTGTGGTGTACCTAGTCAGTTCAGTAATTTTCTCCACGGTAGCCATCACGGGCCTCCTCCATGGATTAACTGTCAGCGATCCTCCCCCGAATTGTTTCCTCTTGGGCAATCCTCCTTGTTGTCAGCTCAAAAAAGAAAAATCCTCCTTGTTCTCGTCGCGGTCTCCGCTCTCCTCTCTTTCTCCCCGTTCTCCAAAGAATCCGAGACGGCGACGCCCGCATCAAAGACGGCGCCGCCTCTGCTTCCTCTCCCTTACTCCGATTCTATAACACGTGCGTGCCTCGGCCGCCACTTTCCCAACTCTCCTCGGCCACTTCCGCCGGCGTGTGCCTTCCTCTCCACCGGCGCCTGCACAGCAAGTCCAAGAGAGAGAGGTGCGTTTCCTGCAATTCGATCATGGTGATTTCCCTTGCTTCTGTCGGGGTTAGGTACGTTTGTATTTTACTTTAGGTATAAAATCGCGATGGTTGGCGGGTGATGTCGACTGTCGATGATCGGAGAAAAAAAAATCTCTCTTTTTTCCTGCCAAAAGAAAGCCCCCTACTCCCTACTCACATGATTTGTCCTGTTGCTCCACCATGGTTTCACATGTTCTGTTGCTTTCCACTTAAATAACACCTTTTTTTGTGAGGCTGTGCATATGACAACTTGTTCAAAATACAAGGAGCAAAAAAATTCAGCTGGTTACTTTGTCCCCTGTAGTGAGGGGGGATTCTTGCCTTTTCCTGTTCTACAGTTGAGTTGCTGTTGGAAAATCTGTGAACGCCTGATTTACAATCTGTTATCATCATCTGTTACTGATGGCAAGATAGGACCTGTCTCACAGGGATTTGCATACTCACCACTATAAAGAAGCCATGGCTCTAGCATCGCCGGTGGACTATGCTGGCACAATCACTTCAAGTCAGAGGCAACTCAGTTCTGTGATGCCCCGGTGCTATGGCTTGCGATGTACTATTGGATATGGAAATAAATCAAGAGCAGCAGGTCACTTGGTTGCCAGAGCCATGTCCATGGATCGCCCGAAACTGGACTTTTCGAATCTGAATTGGAAGAATCAATTCCAAGAGGATTTCGATAGGCGGTTCAGTTTGCCGCATTTGACAGATATAATTGATGTGGAATCGAGGCCGACGACATTTTCTCTCAAGAGCAGGTATCCATTTCTGTCTAATGCATTTGTCTTGATCTATGCTGTTGGTTATCAAACTATATCTCTTTAGGATTTTTCTGATGTTTGCTTTGTCCACAACAGGACCCCTCTGGAGAATGTTGATGGTTCTTTGGAAGAGTCATGGAACGGCTATGTTAATGACAACGACAGAGCACTTTTGAAGGTATGCTTCATCATTGAGTGATCAAAATACCAGACATGGATCAAACTCCCCATCAATTACTTGAATAGTTTCTTTGGCTGTCTGAATATAGTTTGATCTTTTAACATAAATGTAGCATGCTCCTTTTTTTTCTGCACTTTGGCTATTAGTAAATGTGTATGATAGACCTCAATTGTAATGTCCATGTGTGCAGCATCAAGGTAAATGCAATAATATCTCTCATTACAAAGTTGTTGATTCTTCAGGTTATCAAGTTTGCCTCGCCAACGTCTGCTGGAGCTGAATGCATTGATCCTGATTGCAGCTGGGTTGAACAATGGTGACAAACACTCTGCAATTTTCTATTGTTTACTTGTGCCAATTATTTTCTGAGCTCACACAAACTCATGTCTTTTCCAGGGTGCACCGGGCAGGCCCACGTAAACAAATATATTTTGAGCCTCAGTGCGTAAAGGCTGGAATTGTAACTTGTGGCGGACTTTGCCCTGGTCTCAACGATGTCATCCGGCAGGTAGAATAGAACTTGATGAGTTGATCTCTGACTGTCTGCACCGATAAATAAAAGACTAATAGTACCTTATTATTATATCTTCTGAAAATTCTCTTGAAGAAAACACAATTCACAATTTTGAACAGTGCCGTGCTTTCACTCTTGAGTCTTGTAGATTGTGCTTACACTTGAAAAATACGGAGTGAAAAACATTGTTGGGATACAGCATGGTTTCCGCGGATTTTTTGAAGATCATTTAGCGGAAGTGCCGGTAAGAATTCTTTGTACATTATAAAGTAATCTGGAAACACTGATAACCATCCTGATGTAAGTTTGTGGCTCTTTTACTTCACCCAGCTTAATAGACATGTCGTCCAAAATATCAATCTTGCTGGTGGCAGTTTCTTAGGAGTGTCTCGTGGCGGGGCAAGTATCTCAGACATTGTCGACAGCATCCAGGCATGTACATGCAATTCTGGTATGCTGCAAAAATATGTTTACTACAAGGTGGTATGTTGAAGACTAACTGACTTGATTTCTGCAATCCACATTCAGGCCAGGAGGCTTGACATGCTCTTTGTACTAGGTGGAAATGGAACTCATGCTGGAGCTGATGCTATACATGGCGAGGTATGTTAATTTATATCTTCCTTGCGTCAGAGCAAGTCTTTCCTTCAGCTCCTAGACTAGATTGTACCAGAAACATTTTTTGGTCTCGCTCAACTATGACGTAGTAGCATGGATTGTGGGATTAGGGATCAGTATGTATGGGTGGAAGGTTGCATACTTATGTCTGACTGTTTCTTTTGGTGAAAATTAGTGCCGGAAGAGAAAACTAAAAGTGTCGATTATTGGTGTCCCAAAAACAATTGACAATGACATACTACTGATGGACAAGACATTTGGATTTGATACTGCAGTGGAGGCAGCACAAAGAGCTATCAACTCTGCATATATTGAGGTGATTCATTTTAGCAACCTCTCAGACTCTCATCTCATGTGTACATATCTGCAAGCGGACAATAGAATACATTGTCGTATTGGTTGCCCCTCAAATTAAAACTATATTTGTGGTTGACGCTCTATGGTTAGGCACATTCCGCATTTCATGGCATCGGATTGGTGAAGCTGATGGGAAGAAGTAGCGGATTTATCACAATGCATGCTTCCCTGTCAAGCGGGCAAGTCGACATTTGCCTGATACCTGAGGTATCAAACTCTTTAACTTGTGCTGTGTCTGCCCTTCCAACTCACTATATCCCTCTCCTCTGATTGATTTAATACGTGGTAATCCAAATGAAGGTACCATTCACCCTTGATGGACCAAACGGAGTTCTTCGGCACCTTGAGCACTTGATAGAGACCAAGGGGTTTGCTCTCATGTGTGTTGCCGAAGGTGCTGGGCAGGTAAGATTACCTTCACATACAAGATCAATTGTCTTGGGAAACTTAACTGCCAGCATGAGTGATTTACCAAGGATCTCTTGAATTAGGGATGGGCTCGTGTGTGCATCAATTGAGAAACGTTGCAGTATTTTCTGTTCTGTTACAAGAATTGTTATGTGAGATATTGCACTATGTTTCCAGGAATATTTGCAGAAGTCAAACGCAACTGATGCTTCAGGGAACATGGTTCTCAGTGATATCGGTGTGCACCTTCAACAGAAGGTTGGTCCATATCATTAGGTGTTCTTCACCATGATGTAGGTGCTGTAAATGACACAACATTTAACTTAACCAATGCCATTTCACAGATCAAGTCTCATTTCAGAGAGATAAACGTCCACTCTGATGTGAAGTACATCGACCCTACATACATGCTCCGCGCCGTGCGTGCCAATGCATCGGATGCCATCCTGTGCACGGTGCTCGGTCAGAATGCTGTAAGACGCCGTTTCTCTCGATCTGCCTGTGTCTCGCAACAAGTTTTTGTGTTTTCTGTTTTCTGAGATGAGCATTGGTCCCTGATTGAACCTTGCAGGTTCATGGCGCCTTTGCAGGGTTCAGCGGCATCACAACCGGAATATGCAACACACATAACGTGTACCTGCCAATACCTGAAGTTATCAAGACGCCAAGGCTTGTCGATCCAAACAGCAGGATGTGGCACAGGTGCTTGACATCCACAGGTCAACCTGACTTTTGTTGATCAGTTCTTGACAACCAAAGTTTGTAAACTCTAGTGCTAGAAGTACCGGTGGTGTACAGGATTGTCAATGTCATTCTTTTTTGTCTTCCATCAGAAAGACATGGTATGCCCTGTAATTCCTGGCTGATCCTGAGCTCATCTGCTACCGGATGAACAGTAAATTTCAAAAAAATGTAAACAAATAAGATGTTCTAACAAAAAAACTTGTAAACAAATTTCAGTCCACATGTGGTCCATATTGGAATATCAAAAACATCTTATATTCGTGAACAGGAGTAACTAACAATTTTTTTAATGTGAATTTGTTTGGCGCCAAAGCTGTTATCTGCAAAAAAAAAAGTGCATCATAGGTTCCCATTTTGCATGTACTGTGCCAAACTTGTGTTCAGACGTACATAAAACTGGAATAATGGCAAAAATGATCAAAGATGTCTGCCATTTGAGTACAGCAAAGACATACATTGCCTCTAATTTCTTCTGATCCAAATCTCATGCACAAAAGCTCAAAGAAAAAGGGCATAAGCAAAAAAGAATCAAAGATGCCACCAGATGAGTACACTCGATTTAATTATCGCATTCACATGGCAGCAAATTCAACTTAAGCATCTGCGATTGATTTTGTACTGGATCATTACATTACTCGAGTCAGGACACGATTCATTGAAGAAATGCGTCATGGTTTAAGACACTAGTGCGCACCTGAATGGGTGGTAAGTTAGTGAGTCACCGACTCAAAATAGTAGAGAAGGTCAAACGATGCTACGGAGAATTACGGATATAGGCTCGTACTAAGGCATAGTTCAAACTGCAACTGTAAGCAAAAGAACTCTAAATGCGTTCTGGCACCGTCCTTCTATACCCTTTGTAAAATGGAGCCGTGGACCTGTTTGTGACGTGGTGCCCTACTGGTTTCGCCTTAGCTATCTATCTACTTGTGTAGCGAGGTTAACTTGATCAATCTGCAGTTTCGGTGATGAGCTCCTTGAGCACGTGTTTTAGGCCATTCATCTTCTTCCGGGCTCTCTGCGAAACATTTTCTTGGAAAAGGTTAGCATTTGATCAATACGGCATCCCTGGGGTTTAGGAATGATGTTTGCCTTACCTTCTGAACCTCCGAGATTTTGATTTCAGCATCGTTGAGCTGAGAAGCAACTGTTCTCTCAGCATGTTGGAGGAGCTTCTTGTGTGATGCTTCTGTTGATGCAATCATAAAAGAACACCATGGTTAAGTAGTGGTAATTCAGGTGGCAAACGGTTAGGAAAGTAGAGCATTTAAACAGATTAATTCAAGTGGCTGTATGATGATTCATTCCATTCGCCTCTTAACAATGATTACAGTGAGCTAAAACTATAATTACTTCACTGGTGACTTTCTTCTAACCGTGTGCCAATTAGGCAATCATTTCTTTTCAATTAAAAAAATTGATTTAACCACATTATTCACCAACAAACTTCAAACCTTACAATATTGTAATCTTATGTGCCTGGATCAGTTATATGACATAAAGTTCGCAATCTGTAATCAAGTGCTCCAACAATGGTGATACTTCATACGGCTCCGCTTTGACAAAGGTTAACATGTTCCACATTTTTGGGAGTTCATGCAGTATCAGTTTGTAATAAATAGTCCAGCGAGTAAATATTTCATTTGCATTTTGCAAGTGCAAGGTTTGAAGTTAAACTTACTTTGCTTGTCAGCTACTCCCTTCAGCTCTGCATGATAGGCTTCAAATTCCTCAAGAGAGTTCTTGCAACCAAGCAACTGCTGATTAACCTCCTCCTTAAACTTCTCATGAAGAACCCTTAACAGTTCTTGTTGCTCTGCAACCAGAAGACATAGGACCAGGTTATATCATTTGAGTAACTAACGTTTATTCAAGAGAAACAAAAGAAGACATGCAAGAAAACAAGGTAAAGTACAAGGATTCACAAAGGAATCTTGCCCCAAGTGTACCTTACTAACCAAACAGGCGACTAACTTAGTCAAACCTACCTAACTTGTGGTGTGGCATGGTTAGCATACCAACCAAATACTCCCTCCATCCCATTATATAAGAACGTTTCTCAAGCTGTTTTAGCTTGGAAAACATTCTTATATTATGGGACGGAGGGGGTAGGTTCTAACTTCTAAGCCTATATATATGCATACACAGTAAAAAGTCGAAAGAGTAGACGATACAGTAGTAAATACTCCCTCCGTCCGAAAAAGCTTGTCCCTCAAATAGATGTATCTAGCACCAAGTTAGTGGTAGATACATCTATTTGAGGGACAAGCTTGGGACAAGTTTTTTCGGACGGAGGGAGTAAGAAATAACCAAACCATATTGGATAGCTGCAGACAGATTCAAAGAATTGGTACATTAAATGTTCTCAAAATAATATTTCATGGCACTGATTTTATGCTTCAGTATTCAGGCAATGAAAGTGATTCAAGAACAAAAT